AAAAATGCTAGCTTGCCTTCATCGCCTGCCACCTGGAGGCATGGATCGCTTGAAAACGAAGTTTCTTGACATGAATTTGAACGCGCGTCTGCTTAAGGGTCTGCCTCAAACTCTGATGAAGACGTCGACCTTAGCTGCAAGTGCAGCGAAGCGGGAGGCCACAAACTAAAGCTTGGTCGGTCGACAATGCTCTGCCTCAATTTCTAGCTGATTTCTTTGCCCCTCGAGTGGACAAAATAAATTCGAAAATCTCTCTCGGAAGCAACAATTTTAATGATGCGGAGGAAGTAGATTGTTGGAATGGCAAGCTGGAGACATTCATAATACATAAATAATTCAAGGTGTACATACACCGCACTAGCATGCATACAATATGCATACATGTACAAGATTCCTCAAAAGAACGTCGTTTTTGGAAGAAAATTATGGGCACCCCCTTGACCATGATCCTGGCTACGCCCCTGCTTACATTACTCTTTCCTGTGCCTTTACGCAAATTTGTTTGTGTGCATGTGTGTAAGTGTGCTTGTATGTGTGTATTTGTGTGTGCATGCTTGTATGTGTACTGGTGTGTGTGTGTGTGTGTATGTGTGTGTGTGTGTGTGTGTGTGTGTATGTGTGTGAGTGTGTGTGTGTGTATGTGTGTGTGTGTGTGTGTGTGTGAGTGTGTGAGTGTGTGTGTGTGTGTGTGTGTGTGTGTGTGTGTGTGTGTGTGTGTGTGTGTGTGTGTGTGTGAGTGTGTGTGTGTGTGTGTGTGAGTGTGTGAGTGTGTGTGTGTGTGAGTGTGTGAGTGTGTGAGTGTGTGTGTGTGTGAGAGTGTGTGAGTGTGTGAGTGTGTGTGTGTGTGTGTGTGTGTGTGAGTGTGTGAGTGTATGTGTACTTGTGTGTGAGTTCGCCAGCATATCGGTATATGTACACATGTATTATGTTGGTACAAGCAACTTGGGGTGTGTGAGGGTGTGTGAGGGTGTGTGAGGGTGTGTGAGGGTGTGTGAGGGTGTGTGAGGGTGTGTGAGGGTGAGTGAGGGTGTGTGAGGGTGTGTGAGGGTGTGTGAGGGTGTGTGAGGGTGAGTGAGGGTGTGTGAGGGTGAGTGAGGGTGTGTGAGGGTGTGTGAGGGTGTGTGAGGGTGTGTGAGGGTGTGTGAGGGTGTGTGAGGGTGTGTGAGGGTGTGTGAGGGTGTGTGAGGGTGTGTGAGGGTGAGTGAGGGTGTGTGAGGGTGTGTGAGGGTGTGTGAGGGTGTGTGAGGGTGAGTGAGGGTGAGTGAGGGTGTGTGAGGGTGTGTGAGGGTGTGTGAGGGTGTGTGAGGGTATGTGAGGGTGTGTGAGGGTGTGTGAGGGTGTGTGAGGGTGTGTGAGGGTGTGTGAGGGTGTGTGAGGGTGTGTGAGGGTGTGTGAGGGTGTGTGAGGGTGTGTGAGGGTGTGTGAGGGTGTGTGAGGGTGTGTGAGGGTGTGTGAGGGTGTGTGAGGGTGTGTGAGGGTGTGTGGACGTCTATAGAGAGATTTACGGTCAGTAATTATGACTTACTGGCTGCCAAACGAATGCTGCTGGTAACCTCGAATGGTTACACAGCTTGGTAGTGACGCTTGTAGGTGTGTATACGAAGAAGTCATCATTTGCTAGCTCTAGTGTATCCGATTCAAGACTAGCTTGAATACGTTCTACACATCCAGTCACTGACAAGCACCTGCATAAGCGCATGACAACAACACATGATTGTGCATATGCATCACTAGCTAGGAAGAATACAGGATTGTGCATAAGCATCACTAGTTAGGAAGAATACATGATTGTGCATAAGCATCACTAGCTAGGAAGCGCATAGCATGCTCTTTAATACATGTACTGGTCTAGCCATTAAACCATACACATCAAGATGTTGACAATCTGCGCAGCACGTCCCTCATCTACACACAACGTTTGATGACAAGTTGTCCGGCTAACTGGGTTTTACACTTCTGTGTAAATGCACAAAAAATCCATGTACGTATTTCACACGACATAATTATATCCTGATCCTTGAAACCTACTTAGCCCAGTGACCCCGCACAAGCTCCTGCATTCCCGTACGGTATCATGTTATTTTCCATTGGCCTGGGTAGATGCATACGTGTTCATGATGCATATTTGATGTAGCTACCCAGGCCCTGCATCTAGCCTTGATTTAGTCCCCATCACCCTCTTTGTGCCTGACAAGAACGATTCCGATCCTCACAGTGCATTCTCCTTTCATGCGCTTGACTGCTTCTCAACGCAGCAAAGTATTTCTATGTCATCCAGATAGCGTTATATGTAGGTGGATAGACATATGGCTGGATGAATGGGTGGAGGGACACCTACACGGATGGATGGACAGGGGACCCGGAGAGGAATGGATGGACAACAATCGGATGGACAGGTAGAGATAGAGCGAGGCAGTGGGTAGAGAGAAAGGATTCACTCACGTTGTGGCTCCATTCCGAACATGACACTTTACAACAGTATCAACTGTTTTCACTTCTTTGCCAATGAGATGGACGACCACTGTACGCGATCCTTTAGGTTCCAGTTTCAGATCAGGTGATGGTAGAAATCTCAACAGGGAGTGTTCACTGACATCCTGGAAAGAACAAGTACAAAGCACAGCATGATAGTCATACAGACAAATAGAGCCATTTGTAATCCCCCCCCCCCCTCTTTAGTTACTGGAAGCCAAGAAAGCCAAGAAAGACAACAATAACATCAAGTACAAACTAATTTGTCCCTTCAGTTCCATCGCTTGAAAAAGCAGCAACGTTGACATGCAAGATGGCGGTATACATGATTATACAAGTATGCTAGCTGTTTTCAAAGCCTACATTCAATTTTACCGAGTAGCGCCTTGCAACAAAATTCAGATCTCAACAGCTTTCAATGTTTGACTCAAGTATACATATCGGTGGACTGGAACTTGTTGCAAAACCTCTTAGAGCACATACTAAGTGCTGCTCGAATATTTGAGATGGCATTTACATGTACCGCGTGCTGTGACCCTCTCCCCCCCCCCCCCCCAACATCGAGACCATGACTTGGCATAGCCATTCAAGTGACTCTGGCATAATTTCTGAGAAACTAAGACATCTGACAGTCAAAAAAGGCAGAGTCGAATCAGAATGAGAGAGCGAGAGAGGGGGGGGGGGGGACTGTACCTTGAGAGTGATGTGAGCTGAAGCATCAGAAATGTTGCTAACTTGTAGCATAAGAGAAGCATTCACTCCTTGCCGTACCACACCAAAATCTAGATGAGTGCTCTTCATGGTTACTTCCGGCCCCTAAATTCAGTAAGGATATCAGCATAGAATACAGCAAAATAACCCCAAAGATAAAGTTAACATTCTACTCCCCATTGCTAGAGTATAGAGCAGACACACACGGGTGCAGGATGCAATACACCAAGAGGGTGAGTTTGGAGTAATGGGAATGTCGGGCAGAGTAACTGGCCTCAATTGAGAGCGCGTTAACGAACCGTGTGGTCAGCCTACCGAGGGCAGGAGCTGTATGACCAAGTGGGTCGGCCTGCGTTGAGCAGAAGCGGCTTGTGACCCATGCGAGTTGGTGGGTCGGCCTGCATTGAGCAGGAGCGGTTTGTGACTCATGCGAGTTTAATAGTAGTGCACGAGAGGCCAGTTATGGAGGAGTGCCCGCATCCTTGTGTTTCGAAATACTAGTATGTGGAGTATAGTGTAAGAGTAAGAAATGTGATGAGGAGGGTACACTAGGGTGGGTCAGAGTTTGAAAGCTGTCTGCAGGCAAGGAACTGGAAAAGACAGCAAGCTCTGTTGTACGCACGGGAAATCTGTGCATGAGCAGAGCGTGCGAGCATGTGATGTCTATGATACACAGCAGTATGTAGAGAGTGCAAGATTGTGCACACACGTAAAGAGGGTAATGCACCGACCATCAAAAACAATGAAAACAGTGTCCCTATTATATGACCTTGAAATGTCCCTATTACATGACCCTGAAGCACACCATACATGTACTTATTCTTGGCCACGACCGTAATCAGCTCATCGGCTACAAATGATGGCGTTTCGAGGGATTTCACTGAGGCTAGGAGTTAGCCTTCGACCTCAAGTAATGAAAGAAATCAAATCAAGCATGCTCTTTGTCAGTCATGGTAGTTAATCTTTTCATGGAATGAAACCTTCGGGATCTACTACCCTGGCTGAGTACCCATGCAACATTTAGCCATCAGGACCCACGGATTGTGATTGGTCCTACACTTCATGCACAGTTATTAACTCCGCGGCTAGCTGGTACATGGTATGGTCCGCGAAAGATTTTTGGTCCCCGAAAGATATTTTGTTGGTGTCTCCTTTTTAAGAACCTACAATGCATGTCGAACAAAGCACGCACAAAACATGCGCTGCAACGACCTTCATCGCGAGTCCGTGTTTTGTTGCTTTCAAAAAGAACAAAAACTAGCTTTTTCTCCCGCTTCTGCAGCTTCTTACGGTCACTAGTAGTGCACGTGAAACCCCGCCGAGTTCACGCAGTGCTCGTGAAACCCCGCCGAGTCCACGCAGTGCACGTGAAATCCCGCCGAGTTCACGCAGTGCACGTGAAACCCCGCCGAGTCCACGCAGTGCACGTGAAACCCCGCCGAGTTCACGCAGTGCATGTGAAACCCCGCCGAGTTCACGCAGTGCAAGTGAAACCCTGCCGAGTTCACCCAGTGCACGTGAAACCCTGCCGAGTTCACGCAGTGCACGTGAAACCCAGCCGAGTTCACGCAGTGCACGTGAAACCCCGCCGAGTTCACGCAGTGCAAGTGAAACCCTGCCAAGTTCACGCAGTGCACGTGAAACCCTGCCGAGTTCACGCAGTGCACGTGAAACCCTGCCGAGTTCACGCAGTGCACGTGAAACCCAGCCGAGTTCACGCAGTGCACGTGAAACACCGCCGAGTTCACGCAGTGCAAGTGAAACCCTACCGAGTTGACGCAGTGCACGTGAAACCCTGCCGAGTTCACGCAGTGCACGTGAAACCCAGCCGAGTTCACGCAGTGCACGTGAAACCCCGCCGAGTTCACGCAGTGCAAGTGAAACCCTGCCGAGTTCACGCAGTGCACGTGAAACCCTGCCGAGTTCACGCAGTGCACGTGAAACCCAGCCGAGTTCACGCAGTGCACGTGAAACCCCGCCGAGTTCACGCAGTGCAAGTGAAACCCTGCCGAGTTCACGCAGTGCACGTGAAACCCTGCCGAGTTCACGCAGTGCACGAGAAACCCAGCCGAGTTCACGCAGTGCACGTGAAACCCCGCCGAGTCCACGCAGTGCAAGTGAAACCCTGCCGAGTTCACGCAGTGCACGTGAAACCCTGCCGAGTTCACGCAGTGCACGTGAAACCCAGCCAAGTTCACGCAGTGCACGTGAAACCCCGCCGAGCTCACGCAGTGCACGTGAAACCCCGCCGAGCTCACGCAGTGCACGTGAAACCCGCCGAGCTCACGCAGTGCACGTGAAACCCCGCCGAGTTCACGCAGTGCATGTGAAACCCCGTCGAGTTCACGCAGTGCACGTGAAACCCAGCCGAGCTCACGCAGTGCACGTGAAACCCCGCCGAGCTCACGCAGTGCACGTGAAACCCCGCCGAGCTCACGCAGTGCACGTGAAACCCCGCCGAGCTCACACAGTGCACGTGAAACCCCGCCGAGTTCACGCAGTGCACGTGAAACCCCGCCGAGCTCACGCAGTGCACGTGAAACCCCGCCGAGCTCACGCAGTGCACGTGAAACCCCGCCGAGCTCACGCAGTGGACGTGAAACCCCGCCGAGTTCACGCAGTGCACGTGAAACCCCGTCGAGTTCACGCAGTGCACGTGAAACCCAGCCGAGCTCACGCAGTGCACGTGAAATCCCGCCGAGCTCACGCAGTGCACGTGAAACCCCGCCGAGCTCACGCAGTGCACGTGAAACCCCGCCGAGCTCACGCAGTGCACGTGAAACCCCGCCGAGTTCACGCAGTGCACGTTAAACCCCGCCGAGTTCACGCAGTGCACGTGAAACCCTGCCGAGTTCACGCAGTGCACGTGAAACCCCGCCGAGTTGATGCAGTGCACGTGAAACCCTACCGAGTTCACGCAGTTCACGTGAAACCCCACCGAGTTTAAGCAGTGCACGTGAAACCCCGCCGAGTTCACGCAGTGCACGTGAAACCCCGCCGAGTTCACGCAGTTCACGTGAAACCCAGCCAAGTTCACGCAGTGCAAGTGAACCCTACCGAGTGCACGCGTTTTAGTGCAAGTGAAACCCTACCGAGTTGAGTTCATGTGACTGCAGACTCGCAGTGCCTGCCTTGTGCGGTGTGACTCATATTCTCCAGAAAAGGTGACGTGAACAAATAATTCCGCCGTGGGCCAAGCCAGGCCGAGTTGCACACTCTTGTTCATGTACTCTTGCTATAAAGCACACTCACTAACCTAACACAGTGCTTGGATGGCTAGTCAAAACCTCGACGTGCAGCGGTATTATATCCGCTCACGTCCATAATGCTACCATGCCGGCAGTAAATCCAGTGCTCACATGTAAAAAGGATAGAAAACAGGCAACCACTGCTATGTTGTGTAGGTACACTGATACCCAGTGACACCAATCTAATCCATACTGTCCGATACACGTTCCTCAGACAACCTCTACTTGTACATACCTTCACATCAGACAACAGGATAGGCAGCTTTACAATGGCTCCATCGGGTAGTAGTCGACACAACAAGTTGCTCTGCAATGGTATTGAGCTCTTAGCGGCAATGGTCAAACAACATGACACACTGTCACCTGGTGCTAGGATCAAGATAACAAGAAAACAAACATCACTGAATCCATACATTTACACTTGCCAGTGTGCACAGAGCCCACACAATGAAACCATAAATAAATGCTGAATGCAATGTAGAAAAAGGTGGGGAGAGAGAGAGGGGGGGGGGGGGTGTCAGGTGAAAAGACGATTTGATTAATGCCGACGACCTAAAAGAAAGTAGCTGATTTTCACAAGGCCCAATAGTGAGAGAAGCCTGCTAACACAGGGTTCACACTTTCAATCATCATGTTCAAACTGACCGCACATGCAACTGCACCCCCGGGACTCACACTTCACAGACCTGTTTGTAGTAGAATGTATAGGGGAAAAAGGAACCATGCACACTACAGATTGAATAGTGGCATAAATGAGTACGCTCATATTTCGAATACAACCTCGAAAATATCCAAACGGACTCAGTAAACAAGCATGCCAAGCAAGATGGTAGGATTACATTAGCAAAACACTCACCAAGACTAGCATGACTAGATGGTGTGATGGATACATCATCCACCAGATCTGTGTCCTCAATACCCATCCACTGCAGAGAGACCTTATTTGGGCTGGTATTAACACACTGTGAAAACCAATCACAAGTAGAGATGCATTTGAATTGGTCCATCTGAACTTAATTAGTCAATCTTTCATTCGTACTCATTACAATAGACAGAATTGCCAGATTGCCTAGAGTGCTCCAGGCCACAAGGATGAAGCAATACCACAAAGGCACAAGAGAACAGAGACAACCGGTGAGGTCATTGTTGCAACACTGCGTTTCATGCATGTAGCAAAGCTAAGACAATCCTCAGACAACTGATAATCTGTACATCATCTGGCTACACACTTTCATTCGTCCACCGTCCGTAGAGGGCTCAATTTGTTGAAAGCAAAGAGCGGAATACACAGCCAGAAGAACGAGCAGTTGTTTTTCATAACTCTGAGTTTCACGAACTGAATCGATCATCAGACGAAAATAGATCCTTCTATTTTTGTCTCAGAGTTACGAAAAACAACTGCTGGTTCTTCTGTCTGTGTAGGATGAGTACTAGAGTGAGACTGAAAATTTGCCCAAAGTTCTGCTTTCAAGGTAAAGTGCAGATGAGTAGAAGCATTGAAAATGAGCAGCAGCCTCTACCTCACCTGTATGTTCATACTGGCAGGTTTACCAACCAGCACTGGTGGAAACATAGCAACTGATGGGTAGAATTGAACTGTAGATACCTGAGTAAACAAAGATACCATGACACCAAAGATAAACAAACTGCAGCAGTTACTGTATACAGCAGCCATAGCAGTGGCATCAAAGAAGAAAAAGAAAAAGATGAAATAACTTGTCTGATCCGGTCACCAGCAACACTGACAGGACTTACATCGACTTGCGCAGTGATGTGCAAGACTGCTAAGCATTGACGTTGTGCCACCTGATCCTTTCCGAGCAAGTCTGACGGACAAGTCCCGGATAATGGCATGGCAAGCAGATGTGCATCAGCAGTGAAGAGGCCAATCTAAACGACAATATCACAAGCGGCATAGCCGAGTAGATCAACAAAGTGATAATTAGTAATTACACCAACAGATTGAGTAGTTCAACCAACATGCACATTATCAGTGATTATAATAATATCATCACTATTTCACCATACTTGGATCGTAAAAAGTATCGAGACGCTGGAAGGTTACATTGGTACTGCACTAAACATTAACATTATGGTGCCATTAGCACGTTTCTGTCAGCAGGCATATGTCATGTACAACTAGGACCATGGAAGTGAGTGTTGTGCTTGGCCAACATAGTTCAAAGGAATTGGGGTAGTACCGTTAAGATATGATATACATGACTCTGCGGAAAGCTAGACCCATATGTGACAGAACAGCCAATTTTTGATTTGACGAGTAACTAACACGTGAACATACTGAAATTGTGCCATTCAAAAAATGCACATGGTTGTACATACCTCATGTGACTTGTGAGAGATAGAGAACTGTGAGACGCTGCAAGACAACAATACACTTTCGGTTGGTAGCGCGGTGAAACGGCATGCTTCTCTGGGCAGCCAGGCAGGCAGAGGAAGACGTGAACTTGGTGCCTTTTCTGCTCTCTTGCCTCTGTTGCCACTGGCAGTATCGTTCTTGCATTCAGTAGCAACGGCAGCATGCTGTGGTAACTCTACTTGCCATTCATATCCAATGTCCATATGGCTGAAGAAAGGAGAAAATGGTCAAGATCAACAAGACATAGTCACTAATTAGAAGAATTAGTAGACAGACCGAAAAGTCCGAAGAGAACACTGCCTGTTAACACCAATGATGACTCTGACCTGGTGCATCAAGACAGGTTTGCAGAAATGGGTCTAGGCCGGATTCATAACAACTTCGATTTTCGGATCCACTTGGAATCCAGTTTTTGTATGGACTTATATACGTATGTGTGGTTTCTTCTCAGCAGGCTGACACACGTGCCATGAGTGATTGCACTAGACACTCTGGGTCGGGGACCCACCACTGATACAGAAGGAAATCACACCAGGTTACGCCACAAGGGACCGACTCACTATCTACTGCACTTTGGTATGGTAAGAGTGGGTTCAATCCAGCGGACATACCTGACATTCTCCAGATTTAGTGTCATCTCAGCAGACACGTTGCGGGTCGCATTAGGCAGGGAGACATTGTAATGCTTGCAGCAATTATCTGCACTTGTGACAATCTCCTGCACATCTTCACCACTGATTTGTACGGCAGCTAGCTCTGAAGCACCTGATCAGTCACAGCACAGGAGGTAAATTGCACGCATGAACATAATAAAACTGTTACTGCTTGTAAATGTGCACATGGCAAAGCAGAGAGAAGAATGGAACAAAAACAAATTGTACACAACAGAACAGTACAGTACAGAACAGTACAGAACAGTACAGAACAGTACAGTACAGTACAGTACAGTACAGTACAGTACAGAACAGTAAAAAAACAGCATAGTGTAGTGCGGTGCAGTGCAGCACAGCGCAGCACAGCGCAGTGCTGCACAGATCAGTGTGCAGTATGCAGTGCAGACCGCAGCACAGTGCAGTATGCAGTGCAGAGCAGTGTGCAGCACAACGCAGTGCAGCACAGCGCAGTGCTGCACAGAGCAGTGTGCAGTATGCAGTGCAGACCGCAGCACAGTGCAGTGCAGCACAGCGCAGTGCTGCGCAGAGCACTGTGCAGTATGCAGTGCAGAGCGCAGTACAGTGCTACAATTGTGGCTCAATTGGCAATACGTATATTGCGGTGATGACTGCCATGGCTAGCTATCCCCCCCCCCCCCTCCCCCTACCCCGTCCCTCCACATTGGCCTATATTCCCTGGCCACGGGAAGGTGAAATAAAATAAAACTGACTAACCTGATAAAAGGATAGACCTGTGCTGAGAATCATTGAAAGAGAATGTGATCCATTCATTGGAATTTGTCAGTGACTCTGCAGTGTACTTCACCTGCAGATAATGGAAGGAGGAACAGCAGGGACAGTAACGTTAGCAAGAGCAGTACCAAACTTGAACAAGAGCAGCATTAGCACCAAGAGCAACAGCAGTACCAGGGACTGCTTGCAAGCAAGCTGAGTTGAGATGAGCTGAAGTGATGCTTCTCATAGGCTGACGTAGGAATGAAACCAGAAGCCACATTCCTCCAATGAAAATACCGTACCTGACTGTGCTAGGTTGCCGGCATGAGTGCAATGCATGGCGGGTTTTAATCAATTTCCCTCTAGTTTTTCTCTCCTGCATTGCAAGGTCCCTCTCTCATGCAGTATAGCTGCTGAAGCCCAGACCCCGAAATTTGTGCCTTTTTGTGCGGAGGATGAGTAAGAAAGGCTTTTGTGCCAAGAAGTATTTTGCGGAGCCTTCCACGTTGTGCCTTGTTTGGCCTTGATCTCCTTCTAATTAGCCATGGAAAACCTTGAAAATACTTCGAAGTATCATCGCACAGACTGGCAAAATACCATACCTCATTCGTCCCTCATATTGTATTAGTACAATGATATAAAGTTTACCTGTAGCCACCCAAGCTGCTGGCTAAACATGCCACCATATCAAACAGGCTCTCATTTTGCATGCCGACTTAGCATATTGTGAGAGTTGTTTGTTTGAAAACTGTACATTGTGCACTGTACAGTTGTACATGGGGAATATCACACAGCCATTACTCACTGTAATATCTTGCTCCTCTCCATGGTCCAGGGAGAACACATCCGGTACCAGAACAAAATTTCCCACGGCAAGACCATCATGAGAGACTTCCTGTAAATGCAAACACACGTGTATATGTGCACACACGTACACAGTGACACACACACACACACGCACACACACACGCACACACACACACACACAAACAACCACCAGCCACCACACACACATCCACATACACACGTATACACGTGCAAACACATACACACACCAACACACACCAACACACACCAACAAACACACACACACATACACACACACACACACACATACACACATACACACACACACAGCATAAAAGAACTAAAGTTAACACAAAGTACTTTGAGCTAGTACACACATGCACATACTTGGAAGCCCCTAACATCGGCTCTAAATAGGCATATGGTAGTAGTATTCGGAGATGGTGAGGCATCAGCAAGTGTTCTCAACAAGCCATTTAGCTTGTGCTCATCAGCGCAAAAAGCATTGGAAAAAATTGGATCAAGGCAGTATTTCAACATTTTTCGGAACGCGAAAAGGCTCTACAGCTCTCTATAAGCTAAGCGCCGTTTTAATAAGAGTGCATGGAGCACTGCCACAGTAAGTAGGTGACAAGTAACTGGCTCGAGCGGTTCACCATTTCAGCCAGTTAGGAACACAATCCACTTCAGCAAAACAACCTACTGCACCACACTGGAGCAGCGGCGGCAAGCATGCTTGTAGAAAATCCATATACAGTCAACTTCGCCTATTACGACACTCGGCGGGGCATCATAAAAGTGTCCTTATTCGCGAACTGTCATTATACCCGAAGTCTCATTATATGTATTACAGTTGGATGGGACTTTGCTCTGGGCATGGAAATTCTGTCGTTATTCGCGAATTGTCGTTATATCCGCAGTCGTTATAAGCAAAGTTGACTGTAGCTTGCTACCCATGATTTTCAGTGGTTCTCAAATGCATCTTCACACAACCAGACCTTCCAATTTAGGCACATACACAATATTCAGATCAGACCACAAACAGCACACACTTACATCACTGGCGGATAGGGTGTTATCTGCGTGGGGAGTAATAGAGAACTGGCCGGCAATACCGTCATTCCTACATGTGAATATACGGCTGATAGAGGTACCGACCAGTGCATATCCACAATCCAACTCAACACTATCATCTTGTCCACAGTGGATACTGCCTGTAACAGCTCCAGTCGCACCAGAACTCTCTTGACCAGCAGCTCTGGCAGATAACCCTGCATGAAAGGCATGCAATCATGCCCACAGGTTGTTGAAATATAGTCTATCCAATGGGATTCCATTCTTCCTAAGGGATCCATTACATCCAAGTACAGATAATGCACAAATCACACCACCTTACTGCCTAGACCTAAGACCACTTTCAAATCTGACCTGAACTATGGAAGCTCAATAAGAGCATGCTTTCCTCGGGAGCACTGCTGAGCACCGGCCTTCAAACTCGGAAGGTTATTTATTGACCATAGTGATAATTCCTAAGTGGGCTAGGTAAAAACCATCGAGCCGAACACAAGCTATATTCCACCTAATCTTCTGGCTGATTTGGTACAATCACACAGCAATAACAGGAGGATAAGACCTTTGGACAGCACGATCTAACCACAATTCCACAATGCAAGCCCAATTTGGGAGGCTCAATTCAACTGAGTTCTTACACACATCTTGTGCCCCACTGTTTCCAGGTTTTTAATTTGATAGCAAAATACGAAGAAAAACAAACAGTGGAATTGAGCGTTTGGGGATGACCGTCAGTGCTCAACTAGAAGAATACTTAGTGGAAGACCACACCAGAACTGATGATACTGTGGAAGCCGATGTAAGATGCAATATCATAGCACCGTAAATGGGTAAACAGGGGCGTCGCACACGGTGCGGTCACTACGGTATTGACCGTACCACTCTTTGCCCCAAGTACCCCGTGAATCAATAAAATGCACTGATATGGGCTCTGAATTTCCAAAATTTTCGGCTCAGCCATCCCTCCTCCACGAGTAAATTGTAATTCAGATGACTGACCGTACCACACTAAAATACCTTCCGACGCCCCTGGTAAAAGTAGGTAACAACAACAGGTAGTGCATCAGCCAAACAGTCTCATAGCATAGGCTACTTGTGACACACGGTACCCATGTGCCAGTGGTGTAGTATTATGCCGAAGTAAAGACTGAGTTTAGGGAGTGAATTCCTGTACAGCAGCGTCCTGCTGGACTACTTGCAGTACTGTGGTCATACCCAGTCTGTTCTAATATGGGTATCTTCCATAAAGTACATGATTGTAGTGGATAGATAATACAGCAGTCTTACATTTGATATTTAGCTGAGGAGGTTGTGCTTTCAGTTCCACCATCAAGTCTTGCTCTGGGTTATGAGTGCGCACCTACACAAACAAGAAAATTTAATTTAGCTATGTCTTGAAAATAGCAATGGGTCAATGAGTATTTTACAAATTTCTGCGACTTATTTTAAGGTGGTTCGCAAGTGCCACTTCAGCCACACTTCATAACACGAAAATCTGTGTACCATCCCCAAAGCAAGCGGTCTCTTTGTTGGAAATCTCAATCGATTGAGATGATAGAGATGCAGCAAAGAACCACTTGCTTTCATGATGGTAAGGTATCGAGCAGCCTAATGGCCTGTTCCAATTTAGTGAACAGAGATGGAACTCGCAATCATAACCAGTGGCCTGCACTCCCAATGCAGAACTCGCATGCAATCACTTGTTTCACATGTCCTGAAACATCAAATCAAGATATGAATTTGATTTCAAGGAAAACATCCAATTATAATTTCTCATTTGTCAAAAGAATCATAAGCTTGCTGAAATAGCTTCTATTTTAAATGCACATCAACATACAAAGAATACTCAGCCGGGAAATCCCATACAACTATAGCCTAAAGGCTTACCCGTACGGAAGATGCAGCTGGATAATTGCCATCACAATGGTACTCAACAGTACACGTCAGAGCCATGCCAGGAGCAAGTGAGGTAGCAATATCACAGTCACCAGTACAAGCACCAGCAGTATTGGCACTACCAGTACTGGTACTATCAGCTTTACAAGACCCAATGTCACCACTAGCATGGCCAAGAGCCATGGTGTCACGACCAATAGTGCTGACTTGAGTCACAGTATCACCAGTGACACAAACATTGTCGCCACCAGCTCCCCGAGCAGCCCCGCCAGGATACCTGCCTGTGTATTGAAACATAACACACACACACACACACACACACACACACGCATGCATGCACGCACACACAGGCGCGCGCATACACACAGAACCAACCATTACTGACATAACTGATAGTGCATCTACCACCAAAGGCATTAGCCCAAAGCTCACTTCTAGGAGAACATAGCGGAGGAGGGGGGGGGGGATAAGACAGAGATAGGGTAGGGAAACAGGTTAAGACATAATAGTCGGAGAAAATGAGAAGGAGGAGGAGGAAGAAGAGGAGGGGGGGGGGACGGGGATCAACAGTCGATGATTAACTGGATGAGTGAATGAGAGAGTTAGCCAAACATGTTTTGTAGCCCCCCCCCCCCCCCTGTGTGATGAGAACAAGACATAGAGACAATGGGAGTTTCACAATACCATTACTCTCTTCCTCTCTCCCTCTCTTCCTTTCTCTGTTTTCCCAGTACATAATTCAGGCAAATGAAGCCTACATGGTCTGATGGCTGAGCTTGATCTGCCCTACTGGTATAGACACCATACCTTATTAGGCCCCTACCATTATTTGTCCCTGCTCTCCTGCTTCTTTTCCTTCATAATTCATTGGAAGGCCGGGTTGTGTTTGATGTGATAATAATGAAAATTACCCAGGTTGGAGTCCTGGTGGGGTGGGTAGTTTGTTCTCTTTTCAGGCTTGTTTACTTCCCTGACAGTTTTCATTGAATTTGAAGTATTAGTTCTCCCAATCCTCCCCAAAGAATTGAAAGTAACGTATTAATTTATTAGTTGAGGGTGTTGAAAATAACGTACACCTCATTTATCCAGTGAGTCATCCCAGCAGTCATTTTGATCAGAACACAGCACAAGACAATAAGCATACAAGTAGAGAAATCTGTAGGGCCAACATACATTTGACCAGTGAAAACTGCTGACGGCTACTGTTTGACTGAAAGTCCGATACTTGACAGTTGACAACTCTCTGCACACCACTCTTGTTGATGACTTGAAATGATTTCTGCACAGTGCACACAAATAACATTCCAATAACAACACCCAAGACACAAAGAAGGCAAGGATACAACAACCGGATGAATCAAAAATCATGAACACTATAAATTGCAGGCAAAAACACTGAAATAGATATGTAATGCCTGTGCAAAGCAGGAAGCCAACAGCACAAATCATAGCAGTGTTAGCCATTACCATAGATGAATCAGTATGTGTGAGAGTATGCGTGCCTGTTTACTAATGGCTTACATGTACTTCTCGCCAAGAAAGTATCTCAGAAGATCGGGGCGCTCTGGCGATCTAGGCGAGCATTAAGTCTGAAGGCCCGTACATAGTTCATGAAGTCCATCATCATGCCTGATCTGCTGTACGGGTCAACAGCATTTTTCGCCTGCCTGCGACAGGAGCAAGTCTCTCGCTTGCAAGTTCTACAGAACCAAGCTGCCAGGGCAGTGTTTGGCCAGCCACCCTGGTCTCATGCTCAACCCCTCCTGACCAGCTTGCTGCTCTACAGCATTCAGGAGCTGCACAAGCAGAAGGTTCTGAGGTTTGTGTGGCGTTGCCAGCACAATCGTGCCAGCCCAGCCATCCGAGACAAGTTTCAAAGTGCTCCTGGAAACACCACCCGCCTCCAGCAAGGACAGGGTTTGCGCCTCCCGCTAGCCTGGTCAGCAGCAGGGACATCCCGTCCATCGCACTGTGGTGCCGTCCTCTGGAACACCCTCCCCAGCAAAGTTCACCTACTCAACCGTCCCAGTGAATTCGCTGTAGCCGTAATGCCCTTCACGCTGGCAGGCTAGATCTGCAAACTCCCTTCTATGTTCGTAACCCCATACTCCTTGGAGTAGTCTGCACGGCGCTGCAGCTGCTGTTGTTGTTGTTGTTGCCGTTGTTGCTGCTGCTGCTGCTGCTACAGCTGCTACTGCCGTGGCTGTAGTTACAGTCCCTCTCGTTGTCAGGAAATGTTTGCTTATGCTACTCTTCATCCAGTTAAATTCTTTTTATGACTTTGTATGTTACATGTATAATTTTCTTGAGCTCCAGTTTTCCCCCTTCATTAAAACCAAAGCGCAGTTTAGCGCGTATTGGCTTGTGATTTCCTTTCTTCTGTTTGCTTAAGCATTTTATCACTCCACAGGTACCCTCGTTCTCAGGTACTCTCATATTTGTGCAATTGTTAATTTTGCTCCTGAATTGTCTACCCTGTTGCTTTGCTACCGTCCTCCTCCTTCCTCCACCCTTTTTCTTAATTAACCCCATTATCACATTAGCTTCCATGTAATTGGGCTTGTAGCCCGTGTGTACTTGCGAATTCAAATAAAAACATACATACTTCTAGAGGTATTCGATTTCAAACTGGCCATTCTGATTTAGCAAGGCAAGTCTAACCTTCACTGGTGACAGGTAGTGTGACAGGTAGTGTGACAGGTGTGACTGAAGTTGAATTGCAGGGCGGACACCCTGGTACCACCCATCTTTTTTTCTGCACTTTTGTCCTTGCCCATCGGCTCCGGTGTCATGATCCCATGTGAAGGGTTCATGAGTCCACCCAAGCTTGGGGATTCATAGGGAGGAGTGTTGTCTGGTGGACTGTTCAATAACCATTTCGGAATGTTTGTCAAAATATTCCCCAACCTAAATTTCTTTCCCATCTCCCAGGGATACCATGTGAACCAAGTTCCTTTTTGGATACATGGGTAATACAAATTACATTCAAGCTACTATCTGAGCTACAAGTCAGCAAGTAAAGTTAGCCTAGTGACAGATTTTGGACATGATACACAGTGCCAGAACTTTTGGCGCAGTGTTATTGATACACAGTGGAGAACAAATTCATACCTGATAGGATTGGCCCTTTAAAGTATTCTCAAACAGCAACTCAGCTGGTTTTAGTGCAAACCAGGCTTGCCGTTCCCTGCAGAACACAAGTTAAGAAACCAGAAAACAAGAATTAGGACAATATCAATCCTTCAAGGCGAGAGAGGAGGGAGAGAGATCCAAAAGGAATCTTGGAAAGATGTCTCACTTGGCCATTAATCTGCCCAACAACAACAAAAACTCCTGAAATCCCAAAACTATGGATGGACTTCGAAATGATCCCACTTATGGGCTCACCAAATCTCGGTAAGTGGGTGAGGACAAATTGCAGAAAAAGGATTCACGGCATCAGGGCATCCGTCCTGGGATCCGACTGCATCCATGCACCATGTGACCATTTGACGCCCATCGCCAGAGGTGATGATAGCGATGCTACAACAGAAGCTATAGCAACTTGTGCTGGGACTGCACCATTCAACAGCTTGCTAAGCTGAAGAATTGACCGCCACTATTCCGCCTGATCTACACCACATAGCTATGAAGTGGCTTTTTCTGGTCAGTGAATCCCTACTTTTTGGTATTTTTCATTTTTTTCCCCGTACACATCACACCACATACTCCGGCATGCACTGGCTGTTGGTAACCACCCAGGAGAATGAAAGAATAGTCAGGAGGAGTCTGAGAAAGAGAAGAAAGACGTGTGTGACCATAATCGTCGTACACACGCGCACACACGCACCCACACACATGCACCCTCTACTAGGTACAACCTGCACACGAGAAGCAACCAAATCTCCAAGCATGCTGGCACATATGCACAAACACATACGCATGACCTTACAAACGCTCGGCTTGACGTGATCTCTTCACATTCTTTGGAGCAAGTGGTGCATCTCTGCTCCTGGGTAGTAGTGTCACAGGCAATGCTCGCCTCTCTCTCAATAACTGCATCAGTCGAATTTCTTCTTCCTCTGTTGCGGATGATGACTTCAGCATAACAGGTGGTAACTTGGACAGTGGACCAGGCTACAGACCATGCACAATACACATAAATGGGACATTTGAACATTTCAAATAGTGATCTTGTTTACTATGAACATACTGTAAATATACAAATTTTCGGCAGCTATTTAATTTCGGCTATATTCGGCACCGACCCAAAACGCCTAAATTAAAACGCCGAAGAAATTTTTCACAGCATCTGTCGCACTATACCATGCCCTCTACCCCACGCCGAAAATAAATCGCCGCCGAAATGTCAAAAATCGTGAAGTGCCGAAATTTTGCAGCGCCGAAATATTGTATATTTACAGTACTAATTTTTAATGAAAGTACCCCCCCCCCCGCCCAGTTATTGGTTGACAGGTTGAACTCCCGGTACAATGTAGTAGCTAGCTCTCGCTCTTGAAAGAGACATTTTTCGTTTACAATGTTTCTAGACAGACGAGTTACTACTAGATGAGTTATTTCAATAGGCCGAAAGCACCTCTATATACGAAGCGGAACAAAAATGCCTCATCCTTCAGAGCAGGAACGTTCAACGCTCGTTCCTCAAAAACAACATCAAGAAAATTACAAAATAAATTATTTCAAACAATACAGGCTTGACATCCTCAGACTGACATGACGGAAACCTGGCTGAATGGAGCCGGTGTAGACACGTACAACAACGGACATGTTCTGTATTGTTCGGGCGGCTCATTGTCCAGACCTGCAGCTGGCCTTCTTATCCAAAAGAAACTAATAAATAACGTCGAGCATTACTATACTTCTCTGGACGAATGATGATGATGTCTCCGAACTGGACTGCGGCCTGACAGCAATACTCTAACAGTGGTCTGCTGCTACACCCTGACACTATAGAGCTCCACATCACATCCTCAGGAGACAGATGACTTCTACTCTGCACTACAAGGTATTGCCCGCGAGGTCAGTAGAAGAGATGATTTGCTGATACTGGGAGACCTGAATGCAAAGGTAAGGAGTGCTCCACCTGCTTCAGGAGGCACAGTGGGATGTTTCTCCAAACACATGTCAAGCAATGCTAACGGCGAGAGACTGATAGAGCTGTGTACAGAGCAAGGTCTCACTCTATGCAACTCCATGTTCAAACATTGCATGCAACACCATTTGACATGGTTCTCCCATGGGCTCTTAGTAGCCTCTTACACAAGGATGGCCGACCTGTTTTAAAAATGATTGATTTCGTGATGATGCAGAGATCAAACACAGTGCGAGTTATGAATGCCAGATCATATGGTGGATTCACGACAATATCCGATCACCATCCAGTTATTGCGGATTTTCGACTGACATTCTGGTGGTGTACATCATCTAAATCAACCAAAGACCGCTGTTTCCTCAAGAATAACAAACCCACGTAAGACTCTGCTGAAAGTTACCCCACTGAAGATAGTTCCATGCTGGACCTATCCTGGGAGAGATTTGTTTTATCTACCCATGCAGCAGCGGAAAATTCATTTGGAAGAAAGAATCCCCAGAAGAGGGCTGCTAGAAGCACGAACCCTGCTGTTATCGGACTATCAACTCAACAGAAGAAATCCATAGCTGGATACACACGGGGAAAGATCCAAACAAGCCGAAAGAACTAAGGGGCCATCCGGCATTATCGATGATTTTCACCAAACAAAAAAGTTGTTGTTCATGAAGGACCTCACTCAGCGTCTTACTAAGCACTGGAGATGGCAATTAATACACTGGACATCAAGTACCCACGTGGCCGACCCCATCTCAGATGGATTGGCAATATTAAATATGATATAAAGCATGCCAATATTGATACTTCTGACTGTTTTGAACTTGCTCTAGACAAGAAAAATGGCTGATGCTTAGGCACCACAATAACTTTGGGGTGAACATTCCGCTCAGGTATGCTTTGGCAGCATTTTTTTAAAGTGTACTGCAGTACTGTTACCGGGCAATTCACCCTTGGTACCATGTATGGTACAGGAGCATGTTTCAAATTATGTCGCAAACCGGAATGGACTCAATACACTTTCTCTCTTGGTATTTTGATTAGAAAACATATGCCACAGTGAGACTACCATGTGTTTTACTCCGAGCCAAACGTTCATGGCTCTGCAATGACCCGAAGCGCCATACCAAGCAGATTAGTTTTTGACATGTTGCTTCGCACTGCGACTTGAATTTTTACGTCTTTCGAAAAATCAACTTCTTGTCGCAGGTAAACAGCGGCTCGCCTCTCGCCAATAAAGCACTGTACACCAATGAAAACTAATGGAAGCACACACAAGGCTTATTGTTTCCCTGTACTGGCCGTCGTGGAGCGGTAGCAATTACCTAATTTCAGAACTCAGGGTGAACTTGACATGGACCCCAAAACCGTTCCTGTTTGGAGCAACCCCTGTGACAACACAATTTGAAACGAAAAATCGGGCAACTTGGAGGCAACGGGCCAACACAAAGGAGTCGCTCAGTTCGAGCGACTCTGGCCTCGGAGCAAACCTCAACATGACAGCTTCCTTCCACAAACATATTTCGAGTGAACAATCCATGCTGATGATCGGTTTGGGTCTACACAATTTTGCTGTCAGACCTTTCCTATTTGAAACACCCTCCTCTACTCTGTATGATACCCTGCCTGACTGTCCTGTTGTCCAGAGCGCAGGCAGGTGACTAGCTGATTTAAAGGTAACAACTCTGGGAATGGCCAGCGGTCTTCAGTCACTGCTTGTTCTGCACCTCCATGGGTAACACTGACTTACTCTTCCGTCTGGAGTTTACAAGGTGGTAATCGCACTGGAAATGAGGCACCACTGAAATTGGTATCCTTAGTCAACCTGGGTGCAGAAGCACCATAAATGGAAGTGCTCCTGTAGTGAAGATTTCATTAGCCTACTCGAGCTTAACTGATGAGAGCTAAATTCCTTGAATGCTGTGTATTGATGAGTGGTTTGTGCTGTCTTGCAGGTTTACCGAGCGGAAGGCTCAACGGACTTCTCGTTTGCTCTGGATGGAGTCTGTGAATCCGTCAAATGTCATGTCAAGTTGGCAAGAAACAACAGGGCGCGAAATAACGGTCGGACATCGGACAGTTTCCGACCGTTTACGGTCAGTTTCCGGATGTTTTGTACACATCCGGACAAAGTGTCCGCGCACTTTTTTGCAAAGTACAAAAAAGAAAAGGCACGTCAATCCTTTGTCTCATAGTCATTAGCGATGTCATCTGGCAAGAGAAAGCCAAGCACTGCTGATGCGGGTGCTCCTCTTGGAAAGAAGCCCAGAGGAGTCAAGACGACCACTTGTGACAAGTGGGTCGCCGAGTATGATAGGGAGCTTTCAACTTCTGTTTGGCTGCACTATGAGCGCAGTCCCTCAGATCGTAGCGTTTTCGAAAACTTGAAGTGTAAGATGTGTTCCCGTTTTGTTGATAAAATTCGCAGCAGCAAGAATTTTTCTGACTCCTTCGTCGTTGGCTCAAGGAACCTGAAACGTCAGCCTTCAAAGATCATGCTGCTTCTGAAATGCATCGCCGTGCCATGGCATTGTTTGGCAAGGAGCAGTCAAGCGGAAACCCAATAGAGTATGCGCCAATCGCTCGAGCCTTGTGCAAACCTGACGACGCAGCAGCAGCCAAGGTCGGACTCTTTTCACGTCGTGATAACATTTCGATGGTATTAATTCTACACTGAACATTGTGTGATTTGATGTGAAAATTTGCATGTCTGGACATGTCCGGCCATTTTTGCAACTGGCAGGACGTTGTGCCAGAGCACATTTTAATCCTTAGCGCATGCCCTGAAACAACATCGTGCCGAATCGTTCACAGGGCCTTTCACATGGCCGAGTCTTCCCCAGTTCACCGAAAAGGATGTACTTTGGCATGTGGGAACCATGTATTCATGCAACACGATCTAACCAACAGACTCAATGCATGCCGGTCAGTGTCTCCTCACTAGCCTGCAGTAGCAACCGTGGAAATAACAGAAGCAGCAATAGCAATATAACAAACCATAACCTCACCTTGAGTGATTTCAGATTAATAGCGGCAGCTACAATTTGTTTCCTGGAGGTGGATGCCGTTGCACGGGTGAATAATGCCTGCTGGACATCTGGGTGTATGCATGGAGGTATGGGCATTTTATGCATGTGTAAGTATGTGTGGACGCATGCATGTGTTCGTGGATGAATGTGTGTATGTGTTGGTGTACAAATGTTGACCCGTAACAAACACAAGGCAGACAAAGAGCAGCAGAATAGCACAATATGCAGTCAAAAAGAACATTTATTAGCCAAGGGCACAGAGCCGAGGTATCTCCAGCAGGCAACTGGAACATGAAACAACATGGGTTTTGCTCCTCGGGTGCTTCTTCCAGTCACCCGTAGGGCAAAGCCAATATACATGCTCGTTAATGGCATCACTTGCCTGGGCCATTCTTGGTGCCAGCAGGTCAAGATTGTGATCAGGATTGCGACTAACTTGGACCATGGCTCACGAAGAATTTCAAAATCCAGGGTCAAAACTCGCATCATTTCGGGTCCTATGGTCTTACGTAGTCTCCTTAGAAGCTACAACTCCTGCGGGTCACAGACCATCAAGACAAACTACTACAGTTGCATTTACCCTAACTAAACATGACACAATGTGTTAGCAACCTTTATGAGCATGAACATTGTGTTATCTCATCACAGTGTAATTTTGAACTCGGACGGTGAGCCAATTAAATTACGGTCAAAAAGGAGAAGGACAAAATGTTACAAGTTATGACTAACTGTCCACCAACGCCATTTTGTCGCACTCGCTGACTGTTTAAGATCTGGTTACGTTGGTGGACAGTTAGTCATAACTCGTAACATTTCGTCCTTCTCCTTTTTCACCACAGTGTGATTCTGCAGGGTTTTCTAGCACAGAGATATACAAGCTGCTCCGTATGCATCACTCCATGTTACAATCATATTTACCATCCAAGGAAAAATTAGACGTCAACAAAACATTATGTTGGGGGCCAAACAAAGCAGAGTTGCACACACATGTTTATATACTCTTGAGGCAACGCTAAGTTGATTTTCAGCATACTGGACAGAATTTAGCTGCAGACCAGATACAACATTATCATACCCAAGTGTTCAACTCCTTCAAGCATTGTAACCCCCAAAACCTGATTATTTCGGGCTGTACTGGCCGTCAAGGAAGGTAACACAATTATTATGTTCCTCTGTTACTTCATGGACACCATAACAGAAAAGAACATCAAACATACCTTGCTCCGGTTGCTTAAAGACTTCCGTCTTGACAAATCCACGCATAGGCACAAAGCCAGCATCAATCATGTGTGTAGCATCTTGACTGTGGTCCAGCTGAACTGGGCTATGACAAGCTGTGGTAGTCGGCAAACAGCAACAAGCATGCAATCGTATGGAGGAAGCGAGAAGACAGGATGGAGACTCGATAAACGAAAACAAGAAAGATTGACATTCATCACCCTTGTAAGAGTCAGCCAGATTGATATAATAATTCTCTGTTGCAGCTCCTTTAAAAGTGGTGAATGGAGTGGTTGTTGGAAGCACAGTTTCTTTGACTTGCGTGAATGCGCGACAAATTCCCTTGGTTCTAAAGCTGGTTTCCAAACTTGTGAAGGTTTGCGCTTCAGAAAGGACTCGGATGGATGCGCTTCGGCTCATAATTATCCTTGTTACAGTTTTCCAGAAAAAAAGACCATGAAATTTAGAGAATGTGCACCAGATTTGCAGACACACACCTGGCAATATGGCGGTAAACACACGCCTGCCCACACACGCTCTCTAGGCTGCAAAGTTATTCTGGCACAGAGCTCTCCTTCTCCCCACCACCATCATCAGTTCGCGTATTGGTGTCTTCAACATCATTCTACATACATACATACATACATACATACATACATACATACATGAACATTCCTGAAGACGGTCATAGAAGGACACGTCTAGCCTGCAGTATAACGGGTTACTTACAAACACAGCCATATGTTTCAGATAACGGTCTGCCACCGTCATGGCCTACTTGGCCTTGATCATGATGTTGGAATAAGCCCTTCAGACAATCCCGGGCTTTTACCATATCACAGTTGTAACAACTATCCAGCTGCAACAAGCAAAGAATTGGAGACATAAACCATACACACAGACATACACACAGACATACACACACACACACACACACACACACACACACACACACACACACACATACATACACACACGCATGCGCACGCACACACACACACGCACACACGCACGCATATACACACACACACACACACACACAGCACACGCACGCATATACACACACATGTATACATTCACATCAGCGTGACCTATCCATTCGCAAGAAGTATTGACAACGGTACATGTACCAAACACAAACAGAACGTCCCTGCGGACTTCCCGTTTGTTGAAGAGATTGAACTCTCTCCGGCATTATTCCAGAAGGATTACTTGTTACACTGGCTGCAAACACTTCATGTTATCTTGAAAAGGTTGGCTGAGCATGCCCCTGAGAAAATTCAGGAACAAAGTTGAGGCTAACTTCATACTTCAATAAGTTGCATAGAAAATGGCAACAAGATCCCTTCCCCCAACTGATGAATGCAAGATAAACTGAATATTGAAATAATGGCTGCTGACACGCTGGACCTTGCGACATGTTGGATGCCTGGATGGTGTGATAACAGAACAGTTTGCTATTTCTAGAATAGCTCACTCCAACCGTTCTTTCTTGGGTGTTGTTGTTGTTGGCGGTGGTACTTGTGGTGGTAGTAGTGATGTTGTTGTTGGTAGAATGTTTTTGTTGTTGTTGGTGGTGGTGGTGTTGTTGTGATTGTTGTAATTGTTGCGTGTGTGTATATGTACACACGTGTGAATGTGTGTGTTACTGGTGCAATTGGAACAGTGCTAGGTGGTATATGCCCTGATGAATACAGCCCCCCCCCCCCCCCCCGACCCCTACAAACACTGGGCTATGTCAGACCGGCACATCATACCTCTTCTACATTTACAAAAACTGGATTTCATCTGCCATCACCGTATACCACAGAGTACTGGGAGAGCGCTGCACCGCATGTACCCCAATCTTGGTCACGTGTGGGATGTACACTGGATGAGCGAGTAATTACTGTAGGTCATATTTGTATATCGCATGTACACAAATTGCCCTTCGTCAAGTCGCACCATGCTCATTTTGTTTTCTAGTGGTAGCATGCTCCAATAGCAAACAAAGAGCTGGTGTAAGGCAATGTGTGCCCGTAGGTCAATGTGTGCCCGTAGGTCAATGTGTGCCCGTAGGTCAATGTGTGCCCATAGGTCCATGTGTGCCCGTAGGTCAATGTGTGCCCATAGGTCAATGTGTGCCCGTAGGTCAATGTGTGCCCGTAGGTCAATGTGTGCCCGTAGGTCAATGTGTGCCCATAGGTCAATGTGTGCCTGTAGGTCAATGTGTGCCTGTAGGTCAATGTGTACTCGCAGGTCACTCAGGTTCTAACACCATATTACCCGTGGTGCTGTTGAGAGACTGGATGCTCTTTACCGTACGTAACACTGTGTATGCAGCCAGTGCACACTGCCATATCACTGGCAGTGTGCACTGGTAAGCACTAAATACAGTGCTGCTCAATGAAATCCAGTCGCGTCACTCAAGTTTGTGCCGTGCACCATTTCGCAGCCCAGTGTTCGCAGGTCTAGGGCTGCGCAGTGCCCGGCGCGTACTTGAGTGACGCGATTGGATTTCATTGAGCAGCACCATGGTATCGCTGAAACTCACCTCTTCCTTCACTGCATCATATCTCGTCTGTGCTGCTTCAGTCAACTTGGCTTCAGATGTATCACCATTGGCCGCACGCATCACAGCACCTTCGCAAGCACTACGCCTTTCTTCAGTTTCGCTTTCTTTCGTATCCACCGTACCATCTTTCAAATCTCCAGAAAACGATGTTGTGGCTGACGGGTACACGAAAGAGTTGACTGATCTAGCGCGTCGCTTTGATTTGCAGTCACCTTCTGCGGAGAGGATGTTGCTAGTAAATACTTCCAACATACCATACGCTTTCTCGTATCCAATTGCTTCCCAATTACACCGTGCATGCTGCCGGGCCTGTGATACACCAGGTGAAGCGGAACGTTTATCATCGTCTCTGGTCGAGGCTGGTACCTGATGTTCCCAATCATTACTACGGTCTGGCGAGGCATATTGGGTGGATATATCCCTCCCAGCCATCACAAAACTGACTTATTATCTTCTCCGTGTTGCGCAGCAACACTTCAGTTTTGAGTTACCCTTCCAAGCCGAGCGTTGGTCCAGTCATTGAGCCAACAAGGCTTGGGTTGGCCAGAAACTTGGCAGTTCCAGATTCACTGCTTGTGCCAGAACATGTACTGGCGATTTGCAAGACGTAGTATAAAATCACCACAAATCAATACGCCCTGAAAATGTGCGCTAGCTTCTTCCTTCTTTCACCTCAGACTAGATTGTAGTTTGTACAAGTAGAACACTCAAGATCAACACTCAGCTCAGCAGACTGAATCGAGTGGAGCGCTAGCGCGCGACCCAGTCGAGTCCGTAGTTACAAAAAAAACAGTTGTCATGACTTCAGTCTGGTTACGGCGTACATAATTATGTCATTTAGTGAGGTTTTGCATTCCGAAATTCGGCAAAAAGATTCGGCACGCGGGAGCGAGCTCGAAAATGCACACGAAGATTCGGCATGTTTGTTCGGAAAAAGCTCACTTTGCCGAAAATATTTTTCGGATGAATTTTCTTGTAGAAGAGCGCTAGCGCGTGATTTATTCAAAGAGGTTTCTTATCTCGGCATCGCTTCGCAGGCGTCTTGGGCGCATCAGCATCGCCAGCTACTTCTGATTGCTCCTCTCCACTGCCTGTCTACTCTCTATCGCCTGGAGTGTCCTCACCGTCATCTGTGTGGCTGAAAAGACTATGGCGATACGCATAAAATTTGACTTGGCCATGGAGTTGGTTTTCCTGAGGCGACTGAGGAGGCAGGTTTGGCCCTCGAGTCTTTGGGCGATCAAAGTTCGTTGGAATCAGCAAGAAAAGGAGCACGGGACAGGACGTTGCTGATGCTGGGGCTCACGAAATGAAAACACATCATTTTCGACTTGCAAAACAAACGTTGGTGCGAAAATTCGACATTTTGATGTTCGACAAATGACCGAAGAACGCCGAACCGAAATTCGGAATGCAAAACCTCACTTGTAGTTTGTACTTTATGTACAGGTACATGCACTTCTTCTGAACTGACTGACATAATCACGATTTGACCGTCATGGCCTATAGTATATGGCGTCAGTGACTCTCATGTAATGAGTCTGTGTGGCAATGACCATGCATGGTACTACAGCTACTATACCAATACCATGTATACTGTCCGTATGAATACTATTATCTTTACCGTCATGCTGTCAACCGATCAACGGCAAAACCTCTCTACAAAGTACAATGTGTAACATCGTTGTTGTCAATGACGGTCATTACCGGTAATGACCGTCATTGACAACAACGATGTTACATTGTACTTTGTAGAGAGGTTTTGCATTCCTCGGTTCGCGCAATTCGGCGTTCTTCGGTCTTTTGTCGAACATCAAACGTCGAATTTTCGAACAAACCTTTTTTTCGCAAGTCGAACATCATGCATGTGTTTTCATTTCGTGAGCTCCAGCATCAGCAACGTCCTGTCCCGTGCTCCTTTTCTTGCTGATTACAACGAACCTTTGATCGCCGAAAGAGTCGAGGGCCAAATCTACCTCGTCAGCTGCTTCAGAAGAACCAACTCCATGGCAGATAGCCAAGTCAAAGCCGCAAGTTTATTCGTATCGCCTTGTCTTTTCAGCCACAGAGATGATGGTGAGCACACTCCAAGCGAAAGGGAGTAGACAGGTAATGGAGAGAAGCAATCACTGAATCAGAGGTACATGTAGCTGACAATGCTGATGTCGCCGAAGACGCCTGCCAAGCCATGCCGAGATAAGAAACCTCTTTGAATCACAGTAAATCACGCGCTAGCGCTCTTCTACAAGAAAATTCTTGCGAAAATTACTTTCGGCAAAGTGAGCTTTTTCCAACATGCCGACTCTTTTGCCGAATTTCGAAATACTAAAACCTCACTATTGCTGTATTGATGATCGGTTGTGATAAATCGTACATGATAAATCTGTTGACAGCATGTTACAAGCTTGCAAGGCAGATGAGGAGACAGTGCAGAAGTCTCGTGTCAGTGGTGCATTTCTTCGTTGTTGGACGCCAGTGCAGTGCAGTTATCCCTATTATAATGAGGGTCCAAACCGGGCCAGACCCCATAATTATGGTTCCAAATAATTGATGGTCGTCAACACCAGGGCTCTGCCAACCGATGGTGGTTTTAGTCAGGAGCAGTGTTTTCAACACAGTGCATCTTCCGCCTTGTAACCGAAACTGTCATGTCAACGTATCACCATGATTGTTATCCATCAAAGAAGGCTTCAAGATTTTACTGTATTAGTCTGGTATCCCGGACCGCAGGCTCATGTTATAGCCATGTACATGTACATGTATACCCTCTACCAGTACAGTATTGTAGTTGGCTCTGCACACGTGTGGCTTCCCTGTTGGGTGTTCCCAGTGTTCTGGTGTTGGCAGGCAAAAATTGGCTAAAATGCTCTCACGTGATGTCCTTCACCAGATGCAAGCCAATATCTCATTCCCCCCTTTTGCGTTCCTGTATCATGTGCCTACATGCATGCATGGATGTAGACAGCTCTTTAAACGATCTTTGGTTAGTCATAACTGTTGCTTATCTACCTTGGCACTAGGGGATACCGCTACTGCATTACCAATGCCAATGGTAGGGGCCTGAGTACCACACATTCAAAATGAACCACATTCATTTTGTTATTACAGGGGCACAGCTCGCACATCTGTGGCATGGTGTCCTTGTATGGGGTGGAAGTTAGCATTCTCCCTCTTGCAGCCCTGCACCATGTGCCTGTGTGGATGCAGAAGAAGAAGCCAGCCACCTACCTAAGTCCTTGGCTGTGGGCGATAGCTCTGCTGCAGTGGCAGTAGCAGAGGCCCAAATACTGGGTTAGTGTTATACTGCATGAGCGGTATTAACTCACTGCCATATTACCACTTGAACTTGCTGCTGCTGCTTACCCAAGTACGTATGTACATCATTACATATACATATATATGCTGTGGTGGTTTGGGGTTTGACTTTTCTCTTCTTTTCTTTTTAGAACTTTGAGTTGAAATTTGTGGAACACTTGGGAAAGATGTCCATTGTTTTTATTTTGCCCATAAAGGGGGCTGTCTGCCAGAGCATCTGTGGTGTAGTGACCAAGTACCACCGGCAACCTCATGTTGCCTTTTTCACTATAATTATAGTAGATCTACCTATTACTGAGCCATTGGCATATTTGCTGGTAAGTGGTAACCACTGCCAATACAATGGCACTAATTTCAAATTGTCCGCATCCATTGCATATTAGGTGTTCTGTGCAAAGTTCTTACTCCTATTTTTCGGCCTTTTGACGGGCCATGGCAACAGCCAACCATGATAAACGAGGGAAGATGGTGACAAAAGAATATATCTGGTAGGCATAGTTATAATCATAGCCAATACTGCGATTACCTGTACACACGGAACCCAGTGATGGAGCTCTTATTATATAATGTAGGCCATCACAGTGTGCATGCTGAAAGAAGATGGTCAGTCACATTGGTAAAGCTAAGATGAGGAGAGAGCTGTGCATCCTCATAATGCACAGTTACTTGTGTTGGGCTGAATGAATGCACGGGTTATGCAGGCCAGCCATGGCCACTTTTTATCTTTTTGGTTAGTCGTTAGGGAGTTATATACAAAGGTAGGGCTGCAAGGAATATTCGATTGATATTCGTTAGGAACCCGATGGAAGGAATATTTTCCCCTTTAGAATATTCGTTCGTTTTGACACGTGCGCACACTCTGCTCCCGTCGATCTCTTTGTAGTAATTCTTGAACGGATGGAGTGATATGTACATGTGTTATGGGTTGAGAAAGGGGACTATGACTCACAGGAGTAGTGGACATGACTCCACTAGACATCTACTTGGTCTAGAACAACTGGGGACTAGCCAAACTCTTTCTAAGATTCTTTTGGTATAGAATATTCGATTCATTTACAAAAAAATCGATTTAGTTCCTATTTAAATAATTGTTTCACCCTTAGAAATAATACTCATAAAAAGGACACACTTCAGGCTCATTACAAACATCTTGAAAGTTTTGTCTTCCCTTAGAAATAATTCAGCATTTTGAGAGAATATTCGTTATTCGTTTGTTATGGATGAGTATTCGTTCGTTTGTGAAATAGAATATTCGTTGCAGCCCTATGTAACAAAGGTGTTCAACGCCTGGAGTTGGTCAGTGCACCAACTTCAATTTATCTAAACTCCTGCAGGACGCTTTACGCTGCTTCAAATTTAATTTTCGTAAGAAATGTAACAAAATCGCAGTGTAAATCAAAAGCCCACCTTAAAGGCACTGTGCTCCTAGTCATCGAAAGACCATATGAATCTGAACATCTCTCAACTTCCCCGGCACACTGTCTTCGTTAGAATATCAAGACATTCAAAAGGACTTCCAAATTCTTTACCGCATGTGCTCTTCAGCCAACCTAGTTCACCACATCAGGTAGTTGATAATGAGTTCTTCATATAGCTGCTTCAATCCTACAGGTCTCATCGGTGAATGTTGCGGAGTACTGAATGGCAAGAACTTCTGAATACCACCCTTTCTAAAGGAGATTTACTGTGAACTGTGACAATGCATTTGCAAGCTTTTAGATCCCTCAAGTGCTACCACATGATAAATATATAAGCGCAAGATCACACTGAAACATGCGAGATACTGCAAGTCTTGGCTGCGCACTCCAACTTCCTCTCCTTACATTATTCCTATAACTTAGAACCTTCCTAGCTGGAAGGCTGTTGGAGTGCGCATCCAAGACATGCTAGAGCTGATTACCAGTTAGGTGTAGAACGTCAGTGCCGTTGGTCAGTGTCGTGCGATGTTATCGCATAAGCTGATTGTAAAGTACCAGGGTGGTGTCAGTGGATATTATAGCGTAACTTGTAGCTCTTTGGTCCTCTTTTCTTCTTATAAGTGAATCATTGGCTCTCCACCTGAGTCGAACTTCAATGCTATCATCAATGTTCACAGTATCTCGCATTTGTCAGTGTGATCTCGCACTTATTTCCCACGTGCAAACACTTACATGTGGTATCTAAGTCACGCAAATGCGTTGCCTTATCTCACACCAAATTGATAGTACTTCAAGTATGAAAGAGTGTTATTCAAACATTTGTGCCATTCACTGCTCCACATCATTCAATGAGAAGGGGTTTGTGATCAAAATACTTTTATGAAGGAATAATTCAAAATGTCTATCTTACATGTAGTATTGCTGGTGTGGTGTGGTGACCAAGT